ATGTTAGCTTTGTGTCAGACGTCATTTCGAGATAAGTGAACTCATTAGTTTTTTCTATGGTAGTATCCTTGTGCCTTAGAAGCGGGTTTATGCTGTGATGGGTCAAAGAAAAATTTTTGAATGCAGTTTTCGCGGTGTTGATTACCACTTTATTGTTGTCGCACCAGTTTGCTAGTAGTTTAAGTGCACGATTTAGGGCACTTTCTGTCGTCTCCTGTGCATTTTTCTTAGGGGCGGAATACCATAGTACCAGATCATCTGCGCAAAGTAAGCACTTGATGCCCGTGACTGTCTGTACCAATTCGGCTATGCCTGAACGCCCGTGACTGTCTGTACCAATTCGGCTATGTCAATTGATGCCTGTGACTGTCTGTACCAATTCCATGTGGTAGAGAAAAGAAAAAGAAGTAAAAGAAGACCTCACCTCACATTACGATCTAATTAAGAATATGGGCTTGGAGCAAATTGCATGCTCGTGACTGTCTGTACCAATTCGGCTATGTCATTGATGAGGACATTGAAAAGAGTGCAGGTTGTGACAGCTTCCTGTGGAATGCAGCTTGGGACAGCTCCCTGTGGAAGACCTGTTTGTAAAAGATTGGATCTGATAGATCATTTCCATATCTGACTTTACATGATCTTTGTCCAATGAAAGGATTTCCGTATCTGACTTTACACGATCTTTGTCTAATGAATCTTATCCAGTTTAGCATGTTATGCTTAATACCAATCTATATCAATTTAGCATGTTATGCTTAATACCAATCTTTGCAATTTTTAATTTAGCATGTTACGCTTAATACCAATCTTTGCCAACTTTAGAATTAACTTCTCTTTCCATACTATGTCATATGCCGATTTGAAATCGACGAAAACAGCCATAAGGGTATTTCCGGCATCAAGGGCATCTTTGATGTATTGGGAGAAAGTGGGTACTTGTTGTTTCGTTGATCTTTGTGGCCTAAAACCTGCTTGTTCACTCCTAAGAATATTGTTGGTCTCAAGGAACCGGGTGAGTTTCCTGTTAACCATTCTTTCCATAATTTTAGCCAGCACTTTCCATTGGTTAGGTACGAGACTGGTCTCCCAGATTTTGTTGTAAAGCGTCAGCATGGTTTCCTTGGCTTTTGGTCCCATTATAATTAGAAATTCCAGATGAATACCGTCTTCGCCAGGAGACTTCTTGCACTTGAGCTGTTTTATCGCAGCACTAAGTTTGCAAGGTCTGAATGGTTCAGTAAGAACATTATTTGGTGTTGCTACGTCTTCCTTAATTTTACCAAACTGTCTTACTTGTATCTTTAAATCTCTTGAAGATTTTCTGACAAAAGGGTTTTTCTTTTGCTTGTGGGAATAGAATCTCGCAAAGCAGTTAGCTATTTCGGAGTCGGTGGTAAGCAGTTTGTTTTTTAAACGTATTAGTTCTTTCTTGGGTCTTTCCCTGTTGTTTTGGAGGTTACCTAGGAAATTGAAAGTGCGTTGGCTATCACTTTGATAGTTGATATTTGAGATGAACTTGTCGAAGGAAGTCCGTTTAGCTTGTGAGATGGCTTGCCTTAGGACAGCTGATTGTCGTCT